TTCCTGATAGGCGAATCTGACTTTGTACTGCCTTTGCGGTCTCCCTCGGCGACCTGTACGGAAAGTATCTTCAACCATTATTCGGTCTAAGTCATAATCTCCGTCCATATCAGGTGGAATCATGGAACGCTGAGAGGGAAACTGATCGTTTGTAATGCAGGGAAGCAACTTAGATGCGTGGAATATTGGATACATATGCAGGTGGAGTGGAATCTCGATAGTGTAGGACGGACCATCTGCCTCTCCTTTGACATCGAAGACTTGCCATGGCCCCATATATGCAGGTAAGAGTTTCTGCGAGATCCCTTCCTCCGGAAAGAACGCCTTACTTTTTTTTCCCCATACCGAATCTCGTACTGCAAACTGCGACGGATGTCGGTGTTTGTTTGCGTGCTTCACCATCTGATGCTGGGCTTAAAGGATGTCACTACATATATAACTATTGCTGATTTCCTGCATGTGACAAGCGGACGATCGGGGCCCTCCGATTTTTTGCTGCACGAAGGTCCCGATCGTCTGCTGATCGTTTTTTCTTAGAAGTTGAAGCGTTGCCAGGGCCAGTACCGGTTCTGCATGCCAATGCCGGCACCACGCTTGGTACCGGGCCCGTGCACCGGAGCCGGTACCACCACACAAGTTACTGGGCCCCCGCGCTAGCACCGGTACTGTCGGACGTTGCCGGGCCAGCGCCAAGCGGCCACACGCAACAAACTTTTTCCGATTTTGGGAGGCGGTGCGGGAAAAACCGTGTGGCCCCACACCACACCTGCCCTCCAATCGACTTTCGACTTTTCATACCCTAGGCTACAGCGCTCAACGCCGACTGACTTCTACGCTGCTATGGTCGACTACAACTTCGCTCTACGTTGGACACACGCACACGCTTACACGCACACCAACACACGAGCGCGCACGCACGCACACACACACGCGCACGCACGCACCCATGGACGCATGCATGCACGCACGCACGCACGCACGCACACACACACACACACGCGAACGTGTGGTGAGTCCTTGGCCATCAGTACAGTTCGTCTTGGGCGGACTGTCGGGGTTCAACCTCCTCACGAGTCGGTGGAAGTCCGACGGAACAGTCTGGCTGCGTCATTTTGTGAGTTCCGTATAGTGAACATAACAACAGTCACACATACTCAGACTCACCCACACAGAACACACACACGCACACACACATACACACATACACACATACATACACACACACACACACACACACACACACACACACACACACCCCAACCCAGGACACACCGTCTCTGCATCCTGAAGGTTGGACGCTGAGGCTTGAGCTGTGCAGCGTCAAGGCTTTCGAACGACCGCACCTTGATGACTGACGGTGAGTTTGTTATTCGTGTCTGTTGCTTTCATTTTTGTGGTCTTGGAACTATGAGAGAGAGAGAGAGTGCGTATGTGTCCGTGTGTGTGTGTGTGTGTGTGTGTGTGTGTGTGTGTGTGT